GATGCGGGACTCGATCCCGGGACTCCAGGATCATGACCTGAGCCAAAGGCAGTCGCTTAACCAACTGAGCCACCCAGGCGCCCTACAGAGATGTTTTTAAGTGGAGGTGCTTCCTTCAACAGATTGAAGAGATAAAAAGAACGTCTCATATTCTTCTTCCTTTTCTTTTTTCTCATCTTATCCCATCAGCAGATGGCACTCTAAAATGACAGAATGTGCTAGACAGTTCTCCCATTGGCTCTTGAATTCGGAGGTTCAGACCTGTTAAAAAACAGAGAAGCCCCTTGCATTTTTGTCCATTTTTTTTGGTGCATACTTTTATTTTGATCCCTTTAAATGGCATTTTTTTGAAGTTAGATTGTAAAAAGTTAAATTTAATTCATCTCAATTTTATTTTGATACATCTTTTTAGGTCTCAGTTTAAACTAAAAGACGAGTACTAAGCTCCATTCTGTCTTGAATGTTTTGTGAGTTTACCCCAGTAGGTGGCAATTCAGTGAGACAATCTCATAGTTGTTTTTTGTTTTTAAAGAATCCCCCCAATAATGACAAAAGTGTCAACCAAATCATAGTCTCATGGCCTATGATAATTCAGCTGTATTCTCTTAGCATGTTGATAATTCACTGTATTTTGGTTCAGGCTTGTTTAATATTCAGGATTCCGGTTGTCTCACTTGATCCTGAAATCAGAGGATACAGGACATAATGCACAGATTGATAAAAATTTGCCGAAGTCCCAGCAGGACAAGCACAACATTCACCATAACTCACATCTGCCTGGCAAGAACCAGAGTTAAATCCACAGGGAGGCAGGTTGTTGGAGAGAGTGAAAAATGACCCCAGTCTCCGTACCGGGTCCATGATGAGGTGCACCATGAATCTGGATTCATGGGGCCTCCAAACAGGAGTTGAAGAAAGGTAATGGGGTGCAGGGTGCAGGGTAGAGCCAATCCTCCTACCTGGCTCCCAGAGACTGTCAGAGGAAGGGACAGGGGTGCATCCTGTGGGTGGAATGCAAATTTCTCCTGCTCTTCTAATCTTCAGTGGAAGCATGAGTCCAGCCAGCCTTCTGAGAGTCCATAAGCACACCCTGCTCAGATATACTTCCCTGTTGACCTTACATCACAGGTGTTTACCCAAGGCACCTGGTGCTGCTTCCCTGGGCCAGAATTCCTTGCTCAGGAAGGACAGATTTAACCCAGGGGGACTCCACCAAACATGTGGGAGCAGAGTCATTTGCCAGAGAAGGTTGGCGGTTTGGCCTCTGGTGGTGGGCACGGTCCTTGCCTTTCCCCCTCCAGCCTTACTTCCGCCCGCTCAAACTCACCGTGAAGCCACATCACCGAGGTCTGCTGGAGCTCCTCGACCAGGATCAGTTGCAAGGATAAGCTCCTCTGGGGAAGAACTGCGTGTAAAAGTAGCAAAGAATTGGAGATTTGGGGATGAAAGGGACATTGAGAGACCTCACGCACGCTCCTCCTTGTTTAGAGGAAGACATTATAACCAAGAGAGGTCCGAGTAGGGGCGAACTAAAATGCCTTCTGCCAACCCATCCAGCATTCTTTTAACTTCACCATCCTGCTTGCCATGGCATGATTCATTTATCGAAGGAAAAAACCCCTCACTATGTGCAGAAGAGCACGGAGAGAATACACAATTCCCCGAGGTTCAGCGAACCGGCTAATTCATCTGGAACGGAGACAACCTGAGCGCTCTAATTAGAGAACAGGGGACACAAACCCACTCTGTCGAACCGTTTTGCAGAGTGACCACTTGATGGCACTGTGGCTCGTCGGCAGAGCCCACCACCTCTTCATGATGCCTGTCACACAGGCCTGTTCGGAGCAGTCCTGGTCTCCTAGCGACAAGACAGGGAAAATTGCTGAGCACCAGGAGCAGCTGTAGATTAACTAATCAATCAGTGTGTTCCAAAGACGGAGCATCTAAACATTGGAGGAAATCCCAAAATAATTAATACTCTACGGACATGAAATCACCAGTCAAAATAGTATTTTAAACCCATTTTACAAATGGTATCATTTTCGAAAAATGCCATCAGACCCCAAAGTGGTGGTCGTGCCGCCCACACTTAACCCAGGCCTCTTTCTTTTCCACTCCCTGTACCATTCCACTCTGAGAATTCGTGGCCCTTTTCATAGCAGTGCAATCCAGACTTGCCCTAAGAGTAAATGTTCCTATGCTCCTGATTAGTAGGCAGTTAAACTTACCTTAGGTTAAATTTATTTGAGGCCTCTCTCATTTCCCTCAGACCGTCTTTAATTTTTTGGTCCCCTACAGTCTGGACCATTCTGAACTTTTTTGCTCAGCTGAACACTTCTGTTCAAAAGTTCTGTATTCTTTTCCAGAAGAAGCCTCTTTCAAAGATTGCTTTGAAAAACTCCCTATCAATCCTGAGTTATACAGTTAGGGGCTCTACAATTAGGATTCACCTATAATTTGAAGAATGTGCGATTTTAGTTCTGCAGGAAAAGACTGCCAAGGAGCTCTGGGCCCTGCCGTGATGGGTGCATGTGTATCTGGCTTCATGATTATGATGTAGATCTGGAAGCTTGAGAACATCATCTGGGTTTCAGCAGGCAGTTAATAGAGGAGCGATTTGCCCGCAACAGCTAGATATAGATGAAAACTCCTCTAAGGGAATTTTGAATGCATCCTCTCTTCTGCTTCCCCGTTGTGTCTTCCAAAGAATAGTCTCTTTAAGAAGACTGGATTCTGCTAGTAGGACCCTGAGTGTGCAAAAATGAGGACCTGGCAGAGATAATGGGGCAGCAGAGAAGTAGCTGTGAGGAGTTGGATGGGAGAGAGACAGGCAGCACAGTAGCTGAGAAGAATAGATGTATATTCTCTCTGACTATCTAGATTCGTTTACACTTCTGGGCTCTCTGAATCTCTAGGCAGGCACATTCTACCTGAATAACTCTTTAAACGTTAGTGAAAATTACGGGGCGCCTGGGTGGCTCAGTCAGTTAAGCATCCAACTCTTTGATTTCGGCTCAGGGCGTGATCTCAGGGTCCTGGGATTGAGCCCAGTGTGGGTTCCACACTCAGCAGGGAGTCTGCTTGAGTCTCTCTCTTCCTCTGCCCCCTCCCCACCCCTGCTCTCTCTCTCTCTCTAAAATAAAGTAAATAAATCTTTAAAAAATAAACATTAGTGAAAATTAGGCACAACATTCCAGTGATATATCCAGCCAGCAAAGTTTTCCTTCGTCACAAATAGTATGATGATTGCTTTCAAAGGTTCTGAAGTCAAATTCTGTGTTGAAGTTCAGGTTTCTGCTTACCATCTGTTTAACCCAGCAAATTATTCTCAAACCACAGCTTCTCCATTTTTAAGATGGGGAACATGGCAGTGCCCACCT